GTGTATCTGGTTTCTTTGAGTTAGTACCAGTTCTTTGGGGTTGATCTTTACTTTTGTATGTGGTTGTTTGCTCATTTTGATTGATATATAGAATCCTATTATATGAATTTATGCAGTCTAGTGTTGATAGAAATTAGTTTTTTGTTTTTTAAGTTTTATATATTATGAACAAAATATCCATGAACATTCTTTAAGTATCTTTTGGTGCATATACTCATTAGTTTTCTTTCATTCTGTGTTAGTCAGCTTTTAGTCACCGTAACAAAACACCTAAAATAAACCGTTTATAAGGAGAAAAGGTGTATTCTGATTTATAGTCTCAGAGGTTCTGTTCCATGGTTTGTTGGCTCTGTTGACTGGAGGCCTCTAGTAAGTCATAATATCATGGTGGGAGTGTGCTGTAGGAATTTGCTCAGTTTGACAGTCAGGCAAAAAGAGAGAAAGAGCCAGCATCTCAGTATTCATCCATCCCATCACATACCCTCCTTCTTCTAAACTCCACCTGCTAAATGTTCTGCTACCTCGGGGCATGGCCTTTTGGGGAACATTCAAGATACAAACTGCTGGGTGTGGTGGCACATTCCCGTAATCTCAGCACTGGGGAAGGGTGAGGAATGAGGATTCCAAGTTCGAGCCCAACCTAAGCAATTTAGTGACTTGGACCCTGCGTTGAAAGAAAAAATAAAGTGCAAGAGATGTAGCTTAGTCAGAAGGTTGTAGGTTCAGTCTCCTGTACTGAAAAAAGCTATCACAGCACATTCTAACTTTCTAATCTAATTGCATTTCAGTTTCAATGTGTCGTGTGAATATTCCTATAAAGGCAGCCCAGTACAGAAGCATAACACATCTATTGCACTGCCAAATAGTGGTAGAAAGCAGATGGCACCAAATACAGAAATTACGAGTGAGATTTAAAAAGCACTTTTAGTTACAGAAATAGAAGGAAAATGTGGTATAAGTAAAAACAAATGTTTTAGTAAATTCCTGCTTAAGTGAGCTGGGATGTTAGTGTGGTTGCAAATTATGATATAAAGAAACTCTTTCTGTAGAATTCTGGATAAAAAGAGCATTCTGTATAGAGCTGATAGCTTTTCATAGGTAGGGATATCAACCAGTAATATTCTTGGTAAACTTATCCTTGTCGTTTTATTTATATTCTTTCTAGCAATTGCCTACTAGTTCATTTTTAATATACTATTTAAAAATTCACTTAAGTAACAAATTCATTCCATATGGAAATCTAAAGTTATTAATCTGCAATATTAACAATTTGACATTAAACCTCTTTCATATCAATGATTCTTTCTAAAGAAGATGATTATATAAGAAACACAGTTACATATTTAAACATATAATTTTTAAAAGTCTCAATTAATTGGAAGTTTACATTTTTATTAGTTTGCTTTCTAGTTAACTAAAGATTAACCAGAAAACTATTTCTCACTAGTGAATACTTTAAAGCAAATTATTATACTTCCTACTGTTAGTAGTTTCATATGTAAATATAATTTATTGATTAAATAATTATGTTATTTTAAATATTAATTATTGTCCAAAGTGCTACATGTAGTCGAAACCTGCAAAGACTGGAATTTGTTTTTTATTTTAAAAATTTTTTTCTGGGCATGGTGCACACACCTGTAACCCTAGCTACTTGGGAGGATGAAGCAGAATCATAAACTTAAGGCCAACCTGGGAAACATACCAAGAGATACCTTAAAAATAAGAGAACATGAAAAATTGATCCATAACTCTTAGATGAAGCAAAGAAGACTAAGATAAATTGTAATAGTGAAAAATCAGAACAGAGCACAAATAGCATTAATTCTGGGAATTTAACACAAGAACACAAATGTTAAAAATGAATCCGTATAAAGAGAAACCCGTTAGAATTACAGCTGAATTATCAACACAAACTAAAAAAGCCAAGAGATCTTGGAGTTAAGTGTTTCAATTCCTAAAAGAAAACAATTTCCAACCACGTTGATATAACTAGCAAAACTATTTTCAAAATTGATGGAGAAATAAAATGAGACCATCAAACCAGCTCTCCAAAAAATTTTGAAGGATATCGTAGAAAGATATAATGAAGCTAACTGTTGACCACAAATTCACAGTGACTGGTTTTGCGTATTTCCCTATGGGATAAAAGGAAGGATTGGGATTATTGGTACCACCCGTCTGGGATTTCCCATTGACTCTTCCAAGCATAAAATCATCTACAGCCTTCTTAAATCATTTCAGGATTATACTCAAGGACAAGACACTTCTAAGCATAAGATCATCTATGCCTTCTTAAATCATCAAAGATACTTCAAAATAAGATTATCTACGCCCTCTGGAGTAGGAGTCTTTGGATGAATTGTAATCTGTTGCTAGCTCCACCTATCACTGTATAGACTAAATAAATAGTGGCTGTTTTGGGAGTGGAGGAAGTCTGATCCAGAGACATGGACTTCCCAGACATTGTTGAAGTACGATACTTGTCACTGTTTTTTGTTTTTCTCATGACGTTCTTGAGACTGACAACCAGGACTCTTGGCTGGGTTCTCAATATTGACAGTCCGAACTCTTGGCTGGGTCCCAATAGCTAACAATTACAAAAAGATCTAATATAATGGATACACTAGGTAAAGTGAGCAGTTAAAATAGAGGAGAAAGACAGGGAATCAGCAACAGGGAATAAGGCAAGGACAGGAATAAATCAATAATAGTCAGTAATATTCTCCATGTGAACAGTCTCAATTTCTTAACCAAAAGATACAAACTGGCAGAACAGATAAAGAAAAAAATTGAACTGAATGCTGTATAGAAGAACACATTTAACCCACAAACTCGTGGACTGAACATCTAAGGACAGAAAATATTATTTATTCCATGCAACAGGAATCCGAAAAAAAGTTGATGTAGCTATCCTCTATTCAAACAAGAATGAACTTCAAGCCAGCAGTGATCAAAAGAGACAGAAAAGTCAGTTCATATTTGTTACAAGAACAGCCAAAAAGGAAGAAGTAACAATTTTTAACATCTATGCGGTGAATAATAGTGCACCCAATTTCATAAAACAAGTTCTGCTGGAGTAAAATAGCTGATGGACGTAAACACAAGTATAATGGGGAACCTCAATACCACACTTTCACAGATAGATCAAATAGATAAAGAAATCAATTAAAAATTTTGGAGTCAAATAAAACTTTTGAACAAATGAGCTTAGTAGATAGTTACAGAATGTTCCATTCACCAGCAACAGAATACATATTCTTAATAGCAAATGGAACTTTCTCTCAAACAGACTATATACTAGACCAAAAACAAGCTTAAGTAAAGGTGAAAAGAATTAAAGTTGCACCATATACATCATCAAGTCAAAGTGCAATGTAGCTAGAAATCAGTGACAAAAGAAAACACAGAAATTATGTTAATCTATGGAAACTAAACAATATACTCTTAGACAAACAATGGGTTACAGAAGAAATAAGACAGTTTCTATGAGAATTATGAGACACAGTGAAAGCAGTCCTAAGAGAAAAGTGTATAGCTATGAATGCCCCCACCACAAAAGTAGAGTGAGCCCACGGAAATAACCTAATGATGCACCTCAAGGCCCTAAAAAACAAGCACAATCCACACTCAAAGCTAGTACAAGGAAAGAAATGTTAAAGATCAGAACAGAAATCAGTTTGAAATTGAGGAACATAATTGAAGTAATTAAAAAAACTACCAACTAAGAAAATCCTAAATCCAGATGGATTCATAGCTGATTTCTGAAAACCTTCAGGGAAGATCTCACACCAATACTCCTCAAACTTGTTAATGAAACTGAAAGGAAAGTGTACTACTGAAGCCATTCCTGGAGGCTAAAACTAGGTAAGGATTGAATCAAAAAGAAAACTATAGATCAGTCTCTTTCATGAACACAGATGAAAAATTTTCAACAAGATACTACCAGACAGACTGCAAAAAATTTTCAGAAAGATCATATATCATGACTAAGGACACACTGCAGGATTGCAAGGATGGTTCAACATCTGCAAATAGACAAATGTAATACAGCACATGAAAAACAAGGACAAAATCACATGATCATTTCAATAGACACAGAAAAGTTTTTGCCAAAGTCTAAATTCTTTCATGATGACATCCCTCAAGAAAATAGGCATAAAGTACATTATCTCAATCTGATAAAACCCATTTATGAAAACCCTACCATCACGTTAAATGGGGGGAAAGTGAAAACTTCTATAATATGAGGAAGGAGACAAGGATTCCACTATCATCACTCCTGTTTAATATTGTACTCCAAACATTAGCCAGAACAAGAAGGCAAGAGAAAAAAATAAAGGGACATGTATAAGAAAGGAAGAAGTCAAATTATCATCACTTGCAGACAATATGATCCGCTACATTCCACCAAGACCCAAAACATTCCACCAAGTGATTCCTAGAATTTCAATGAGAAGCTCTTCAAATATAATCTGCTATCAAAGAATTATCATTGTCAGCTGAGATTATGTTATGATGGCTCTGTAGAAAAACATTTTTTGCTTTTACAGATACAAAATAAAATTTAGGGGGAGAATACTGATGACATTATTTCCTTAAAATTCTTTAGTGTATCAAATTAGGGGTCTATTTCTAAATAAGATAATGGATCCTAGGGTCAACAAAAAGTCTTCAGCATACAGTATCATCAGACTATCAGCTGTGTGAAGGCAAGACTGTGACTATCTGGCTTGCCTAATCCAAATGTCTAGTATGGAAGAAGCACTCCGCATATGTCTGTTATGAATGAATAGGAAAGGATGGGAAAGGAACACAAATATCATATACGATTTATGCTGACATTGAGAACCCAAGGAACATCACTCCTCGTATCACTGCACTTAAAAATAAGTACAACTGAAACTGCAAAGAATCAAATAGAAGAGAGAAAATGGTAGAATAATTAGCAAAATACGCATTAATTTTACTGACTGGTCCCCTTGCCTTTTATATTGCAGGGTATGGAAAGGTTTTTTGGTAGTAAGGGAAAAAAGGCCAAATATAACAAACAAAATTCTGCATGTTTTCAAGACATTGTTAGGTAAGTAACTTTTGTCCTGGCTCCTACTCCCCCCTCTGTTCCTCCACGGCTGTGATAAGATAACAAGAAACTTGTTTGCTGACCACAGTGCCAACTTGTTAGCCAAGTACATCCCAGAAGAGTTTTCTCACGTATGTTTAACTTAAAATTCACTGAATTTCTGCTACATGTGTCAAAGTATTGAAAAAAGAAAGTTGATAGAGATTAATTCATATACTTTGTCTTTCAGCAAGGTTAATAAAGGTAAAAGAAAAATTTTAAACTTAAATAAATGTTCTCTATTTTTCTGTGATTTCCATTTATAAAGAGCTTAGACAATAAAGTTTCATCTATTTCTGAAATGAGATGCCGCTACAGACAGAGTTAAAACTCATGTTTTTTGATTCTTTATCCCATTTTCTTTACATATCACACTGCTTTCCAAAAACCAAAACTTAAAACAGTCTCATGTATTTATTTTACTGTTCGTTCTGCTGAGGATGTCCCAATGGAGCTCAGCATAATTCACTGACATCACTCCGGCCACAGACACGTCTTCTAACACTGTCACTTCTGTGACCGTTTCCTCACTTTCCTTAGCAACCGAGAAGCACCATTTCAGTTTTCTGTGTTGGCTCTGCTGAGCCCCAGCAGCTGTAGAAGTAATGTGATCACCAAGAAAGAAAACCTCCGCCTCCTACCAGCCATGTCTGACACAGTAAGAGGGTTTTGGCTTCTCTGTGAAAGCCTCCCTGAAATTTCATCAGTAGTTTGGAAGCTGTGAAGCAGACACGGCTGAAAGTGGCTGGTGGCTGGCGTGTAGACCACGGAGACTCCACATGCAGAGAAAAAGTGAATGTGCGACTTTGTGGGGTGTATTTAACTGTATCACCACCTACACCTTGAGTTAAAAGCTGCTCGTGGCTGAAGAGAAGTCCCCAGTTCCCTCCCACCTGCCTCTCAGCTTAGCTTTGATGTGAACCTGGGCTTCCAGGGACACAATGCCTGTGAATCTATAAAGCAGATTAACTTAGTGATATTGAACATGTAAATAATAAGAGTACATTTTAAAACGTTTTCTCTGACTTTCCCTTGCCTTATTCCTGTGTTGTCACTAGCAGTTCCTGCGGTCTGGGTCTTCCTTCGCTGCAGTTCTTCCCTTACTAGTTCAAGCCTTCTTTACCCCCAAACTTAGTCCTATAAACGCAGGGAACTCCCCTTCCTCCTGCCCTCTTGCCACTTTCCTCACTCCAGTATTTACGTGTAATAACTATTTCTACTGCATCAAGTTCTTCTCAAAACACAACTTGCCACGTCTTAGTTGCTTTGCTTGACAGCCAGCGTCCTTTAGAACATGGCTTCACTGTACCCGCGTGAGCTTCTCCTGCTCTCCTGTTAATAGCAATATTGATGATTAGTATTGAGTAACCCAAGTGCAAGATGCTGTGATAGGTGTTTTCTACATACAATTTGCTCACTTAAACTGTTGTTCCAATTAGAGTGATGCCGTGTTTTCCCACAATTTTGCTTTTGTTTTTAGTACTGGGAATTGAACTCAGGACCTTGTGCTTACCAGGTAGGTGCTTATGCTGCTGAGCTATATCCCAGTGCATTTTGCTTTTTCCTATACTTTGATTATACAGAGCACTATATATATGCACCGTTTTTTCTTTTTAGTTCATTAGTGCATGTGTGTAGTACATAATGTTTACATTCCTTGTGGAAAGATGGTGCATGTATGTAACTATGTGCTCTATTTCCTGCTCTCTTCATACCCTCAAATCCTAGTACTGTTTTGAGCCCGAAATCATCTTTGCTCCTCTAAAACTCCCTTTAATCATATCAGACTCACTGAGTTCATCTCTATCTGACTTAACATTCTTACTGTGCTAAATGCTTATTTAATATGATTAGATATTAAATATGGTTATTTAGTTTTTTGTTTCAGACAAGTACATTTATACCCCATTAAAATAATAATGAATTTAAATTTAAGTGATTTAGCATTTAAATGTATAGGAGTTTAATGATGGGCTTCAAAGTGTGTGCAATCCGTTTAAAAGTCGTGTTTTGTGTTGTACATTTTTTTCTGCCGTCAGGAGCTTCCATAAGTTGCCAAAGAGAAATATCAATTAAAAACATTTTTATAGCATGGATATTATAATAATGTTGGAGTTTTATTAGTTAAATCTCTTTTGGTTGCAAATAACAGAAATTTATTAGAATTTAATTACAGTATCTCACGAAAGTATAAAGTTGAGGTTTCTTAAAGGATTAGAATCTGATTTAGGAAAGAACCCACAGAGAACATAACCAGATACTTTTGTCTGACTTAATTAATTCATGTGCTTCACTTTAGTTTCTCTGATTCTCTCACATAAGCTTGCTCAGGTAACCAGTTCAACTTCTTCCCTCTTAATTCTTGAAGAGAAAGACAAGAGATAGAAACGAAATGCTGGCCTGTCTACAGAAAGTAGTTACTTTCTCATTGCTGGGACAAAAACCCGACATCCACAAGTTAAAGGAAGAAAGGTTTACTTGGGCTCACAGTTTGTAGAGGTTCAGTCCATAGTCCTCTGGCCCCAGGGCAGCATGGCAGAGGGCGTGGTAGACAACAGGCAGCACGACTTCCTGCTCCTTTCCCTTTTTATTCTACCCAGGCTGTGCGCCTAGTGGGTGCCACCCACACCCGGGAAGCTCTTGTCTCTTCACGAAGTCCATCTTCCACACTCAGAACTGTGCTGCATCAGTCAGTGGACGGATCGACCGTCAACACCCATGATTCAGTCTCTCCCAAAGCCCCACTTATGGGTACATGAGGCTTTGGGAGGAGGTCTAGATGCAACCAGAACTGTATGCTTTCTTGGTTAATCAGCTTGGGGAAACAGTACAAACATGGGTGCCAGGGATTCAGTCCTATGTGTTAAATTCTTAGGCAAAAAGGTTGTGAACCAGACTTGTGACTCCTAAGGTGTCTCCTAAAAGAGTTGTAGTAACCATGGTCAGCTGGCTTTTAATTTTCATGAGCATGAGGTTTCCTTAAGTCCAGATGGTATCTATTGCTGATTATCTTTTTCTGTTGGCAAGGAATGACCTAGGAGAGGAACAGTTTTTTTTTTTTTTGTTTGTTTTTTGAGTAGTATACTCTCCTGGAGTTTAGAAAATGATTGTTCACCTATTTTTACTTAAAATTTCCTAAAATTCATTTAAAGTATCTTAAATTTTCCAGTTGATATACTGGATGCTTAGATTATCTCCCCTGCTTTCTCTCTCTCTGGGATAGTGCATACTCAGGAACAAGGACCACTCTCTGATCACCAACACTGGCAACAAGCAAAGTGATTTATGACTCACGTCAGTCCTCTCCCTCCAACTCCATTTCAGAGAGGGTAGGCATGAATGATGCCAAGAAACAATTACTGCATAAATAACGTTGAAACCCAATTTAATAAATAAATCATATGGCGCTAATGAATTTTTGTCATGGTACTTCTAAATGAGTTTCATGGATTTATATCTTATGAATACTTTTCTTGTTTGCATTTAAGATGGTATTAAGTAGAAGATACTTAAGAAAAACAGAAGGGACACTGCCTTTTTGGTGAAGTTTTTTGAGCCCGTAAGTCTTCCCTTCTCCCTCCTTCCCTTCCGTCCATCCAGTGGTACATTCTTAGAATTTCCCAGGACCTTTACCTTCTGAAACTTTTATCTTGCTGCATAAAATATCCTTAGTAATATTCCTAAGTAAAACTGTCCCATATAACGTACTTCTGAGTGCCTGACACTTGTAAGTATTTTATGATGACTCAGGTAATCCTCAGAACCACCTTGTAGGGTGACCATTGCCTTGTTCCCATTTTATAGATGAACAATGAGGTGAAAGAAGATAATGGCTCAAAAATCACAATGCTGGTTGGTAGTAGTATCAGGATTCAAACCAAGAAGTTGGAATCTATGCTGTTAATCCCTGCCCTTATTGTCTCATAGTGAAGGCTATTCTTCACAATTCCTATAGTGATTATCAACTTGTTTAACCTGTTTTAGAATATGCACTGCTGGAAAATCTGCTGAAGAAAGTCATTTATGGGACACAAAACTAAGTGTATATGAACTGGTCTAGTTGGGCTGGTTGGCATTCGTCTCTCTCATTTCTTTCGGTCATGTTTTTGGAAAATATCACCTTTCCCACAAGTTTTTACACTTGGAAGCTATTTAATATCTATTCCTAAATTTCAAAAAATCATTAAGAAGATTTTAGTTCCCAATCAACATAATATTTTTGTCTTCCTAGCTTTATTAGTAGTACTAATGCGCTTTTGAATGAGTCCATCTCCGGTGGTCATTGTGCTGGATATAACATCAGATCTCTGTTGAAAATATGGGGTGTGATAAAAAAACAGGGAATGTTTAAAGTTTTAAAATTTATTACAATAAGAGACACATTGCCATTGATCCCCCTCAAAATATCCTCTCTCTCTCTGTCTCTCTCTGTGTCTGTCTCTGTCTCTCTCTCTGTCTCTCTCTCTCTGTCACTCTCTCTGTGTCTGTCTCTGTCTCTCTCTCTCTGTCTCTCTCTCTCTGTGTCTCTCTCTCTGTCTGTCTCTGTCTCTCTCTCTCTCTGTCTCTCTCTCTGTGTCTGTCTCTCTCTCTCTGTCTCTCTCTCTCTCTCTGTGTCTCTCTCTGTGTGTCTGTGTCTGTCTGTCTCTCTCTCTCTGTCTCTCTCTCTGTGTCTCTCTCTCTGTGTCTGTCTCTGTCTCTCTCTCTCTGTCTCTCTCTCTCTGTCTCTCTCTCTGTGTCTGTCTCTGTCTCTCTCTCTCTGTCTCTCTGTCTCTCTCTCTCTCTGTGTCTCTCTCTCTCTGTGTCTGTGTCTGTCTCTCTCTCTCTGTCTCTCTGTCTCTCTCTCTCTCTCTGTGTCTCTGTCTCTCTGTGTCTCTGTCTCTCTGTGTCTGTCTCTGTCTCTCTCTCTCTCTCTCTCTCTCTCTCTCTCTCTCTCTCTGTGTGTGTGTGTGTGTGTCTGTGTCTGTCTCTGTCTCTCTCTCTCCAAACACACTTATCCTTGTCACTTGTGACAGCAGGTCTGGAAGTCCTCTTTCATGTCTTCAGTTGTGCTGTGGCTGCCTCAGTCTCTGGAATAGATTCAAAACCTTTACCTTTCATGGACATTTTTTGACTTTGAGGAAAAGCCAGAAGTCTCCTGGAGCCACATGAAGTGAATTAGATGGATGAGAACCCAAAATAATATTCCATTGGATAGTACTTGGCAGCAATATTCACTGCATTATTGATCACACCTTGTAAAGACGTTTGTGAATATTTTTGATATTGAGTCTTCTTATCCCTAAATGTGTATCTTTTCATTTATATAAATTTCTAAATTTTTTTTATAAAAATGAAATCACAGGTATGAAGTGTAATATAGGCAAACAAAAAAAAGTTTTCTATCATATCCTTGTCTTGTTTTTTCATATTTAAAGCTGTCTTTGGGAAATTTTCCATTTAGGTTTTATCATAAAATTTCAAAATAAATTTTATTGCTATTAAATTCTTGTTTTTGACATTCAAGTATCTTCATTATGGTAAATGCTGTATAACTTGGCTATTTAGAAATATTTCCCTGGTAGCTGTCTTCCTTCGAGTTCCTATCCTTTGAACAGGTGTGTTGCTGTTCTCATAAATACTAGGTTATTTCACCATTGAAAAATCCACCTTTCCTTTTCTTACTTAGTATCCTAACCACAAGAAATTATAAATTCGGTGTCTTAAAAACAAATTGAATAAATATTATAAAGCATCATGCATTATCATAATTAACTCCTCAAGTGCATACCTCCAATTTTGGTGATTTTATTAGTGTAGCAAAAATTCAATAATTAGGTTAAAATGAAGGTTCTCCTTCCATGGATTTCAAGAGGTAACAGTGTGTGTGTACAAGATTTGATTATATAATTGTATTAATTTTCTATGGTTGTCATAACACAATACAGCAAATTGACTATTTTAAAACAGCACATGTATTCATGTATACTTCTGGAGGCAGATGTCAGAAATCAAATTGTTAACAGGCTGTGGTCCTTTAGAGCCTCTAGGGAGAGATGTCCTTGCCTCTTCAAGCTTCCGGTCACCCAGGTATTTCTTGGCTGTGGCAGTACCGCCCCAGGCTTCTCCTTCATGTGGTCATCTTCCCAGGGTGGCTCTGTCTTCTCAGATGACACCAGGTTGAGTTAAAGGCCCCCGACTTCAATATGATTTCTTCCTAAATACTTACATCTGCAATGACTCTACTTCTACATAAAATCATTAAAGGTACTTGGAGTTAGAACATCCACATCTCCTTTTTTTTAGAATCAACCTATAACAATAGCTAATTACTAAGAGATCACTTGCGAAGTTTTTTGCAAGCATGGGCATATTCACTTAAAATGTATTATAATAGATTCAACTTTGTTGTTTGAAATACGAAAAACAAATGAAGGAATATTCCATTAAAATATCTGTGGTGGTAGAATTTTGCAGCTAGGCCTTTGAAATTATGTCTAGGCTTTTTCAACTGGGCCTTTATGAGAATTCATTTTTTTATTTCAATAACAACTCTGCAGGCAACATTATTTATATCTTTTATTAAGATGTTTAACTGAGTAACTGACTTTAATATGGTTTTCTGGAGTATATTTGCAAGTCTATCCAGATTTCCATACAGAATTTTCATATTTGTTTCTAGAAGTCAGAAATATAAAGGTAAAGAAAAGAAGCTCACCTAAGTTAAACATACTGTGTGACTCTTTATTACTTTGAAATATGCAAAAGGAAACTGTACTAAAGGCTCAAAAGAATTGTTTAACATTTATAAAGACTTCTGAGTGTCGCACTAAATCTGCCAGCACCATCTTCAATTCAAAGGACGGTTGCAACTCTTCTACTGAAAGAAAAGTACATCTTTCTGAGCTACGTATTCCAATATTTGATGTTAGTGCTAAGGAGAAATCAGAGGTTAACTATAAACTGACTAACCAGCTAAGTAAGATGGCCTTGAAGTAGGTCAGAGCTCAGGATGAATAGTCACCGTTTAACCCCTTGGGTAAAGTGAGCATGCTAAAGCCCAAAGCTTATGGGGGTCGCCTAGGGAGGTGTGACAAAACTGCATCTAGAATCCCACTCCACAGACACACATTGTCTTCACTTGGATACCTTATTTAAAAGGTGTACAAGAGAAATAGCAAATTACATACCTTACAGGCATGAGTTTCATGCTATGTATGAAGATTATATTCAATAAAATTATTGATGTGTGGCAAGGTTTCTGCACTATGTAGTACAAATACAATGTGCTTAAATATCCATTTTAAAATAATAGTTTGGGTTTTTTTAATTGCACAGTAGCACCCAGGCCCCTGAAAGCATAACTTATCTCTATTCTAAGGTCTAAGTAACAGTTTAGGATAGGCTTAGACTTTATTTATAGCACTATCAATTTCATGAAGGAAGAGTATAATTTAGAGAAAGAAACTTAAGAATCAGCCCTAAGACATTTACAAAGCCTGCGGTCATTTCTAGTACTAAGCTAAAATGTAAACTTGTAAGTAACGCACTGGCGTGGAGCACAGGGACTGCCCTGCGAGTTCACCTTTCTAGAGGACAAATTAGATGAATAGAAAACTTAGTATTTTTTATGCTCTCTTATTCAGGGTCCCCTACATACTTACTTTAGATCTCCTACAATAATCAAGCCACCCAAATTAATTTAATCTTCTAGCTTTTACTATATCTCTTAAGTCTTTTTTAAAAAGTCTGTTATATTGAGGTATAATTTGTATCAACTAATGCTCATTCATTTTAAGTGTACTGCTTAATGAATTTTGATCATGTAGTCATGTAACTATCACTGCAATCACGTTAAAGATCATGTCTATCGTTCCAGAAATTCCTAACCCTTTTGCAATCTCTCCTCCCCACCCCACAACCTGATACTTTTGTCTGTTTTATTTATTTATTTGGCACTGGGGATTGAACTCACGACCTTGTACTTGCCAGCGCTTATGTTGCTGAGCTAAATCCCCAGCCCCTTTTGCATTTTAGAATGTCACATAAAAAGAGCCATATAGTATGTTCTTTTTATGTCTTGTATCTGTCACATAATATAATCTTTGTTGCATTTCTTTCATGTTAGTATATATCGCTGGTTTGTTGCTTTTGATTGCTGATTAGGATTCTGATATGTTTGTTCGTTCATCAGTTGATAGAAACTTGGATTATTTCCAGTTTTCATTTCTCTTGGATAAATATGTGTGAAATTGTTAGGTTATATGATTAGGGATGCTTTACTTTTAAAGAAACTGCCAAATGTTGTTCAACTACATTATATCTCCTTGCCAAAATTTTATTCTGTTTTCTTCAAAAATTTTAGAATTTTGCCTGTTCTATTTAGCTTCATGATCCACTCTGAATTAAATTTTGAATGTAATGTAAGGATTAAAGTTCTTTTTTAGCATATGGTATACAATTGTTCAGTCACTGTTAGCTTTTGGTCACTGGAACAAGTACTTGAATAATGGACTTACGGAGACAAGATTTAGTTTGGTTCATGGTTTTAGCAGTTCTAGTCCATACCAACCTATTACTTTAGATTTCTAGCATGAATGCTGATTACAATGGCAGTGAGAACACGGTCGAGTAGAAATGCTCAGCTCATAGTCAGGAAACAAAAGAAGAAGAGGGAGGAGCTAGTGCCCCACTGTCCCTTTTGAGGGTGTACCCCACTGGCCTGAATTCTTCCCGCTAATTTTATGGGTTTACCACCTTCCAGTAACATTTCCCTGGGGGCCCAGGTTTCTCATAGGCCTTCGGAGGGCATT